ATTACTGTTGGTTCTTAAAGAAAATTTACAATTTAGTATTAATTCAAGATCGATTTCTTTTTTAAAAAAATTAAATTAGCATTAAAATAATCTACGATTAACATTTATATTTGATGATCAATTCCCTACATTTTATTACATTAATGAATATTTTATAAAGCTTTGATATTTTTACAAACTGTAATAGTTCCTGACAAAAGAAAATTTCATCTACACTGATATTGTTACTTTTTCTGTCCAGAAAACCATTATATTTTAAAAGAAACGTAAGATACATAGCAACTAAACTTATTCCACAGCAGTATCTCTTATATTTTAGCAAAATAATGAATAAAATACTCTAATAGCGCCATCTAGAAAGCTTGCATCAAACTAAATTGAAGGAAGATATATGTCTTAACTTTTTCGAACGATTATAATTTCACAAAATGACTGCATAGAATATGTATACTCAAACACACAAGGAACAAAATATAAGCCGATTGATAAATTATATTAAAAATACTCCAACTATTTATAATAAACATGAAAAGGCAGGAATGATAAATAATATGCATGTCGTAGGACGTTTGTTTTATTTTAAAGAACACATCAACAATTTCAAATTTTATAATTTTGAATTTAATCGAATATTTAAAATGACCATGCGTTTCTAAGCTATTCTCTGTATTGTGTAAAATTAAAAACGCAACGCTAAATTAACGCTTGATAGCGATCAAATTTTCACTTTTAGGATACATTTCTAATGGTTCGAGGGGGCTAACCTATAACATTAAATGTTAAAAACTGTTAAAAACGTTCTTAGAGATTAAATATTGACAGGATATCATACTCATTCCGAAACTCTATCTATCAAGCCAATAATTTTCTAATGGCTCGTAATAATTGGATAAATCAAAAATAAAAACGCCAATATTCCTTTAATCACAATAAAGCTTTACACTGCTTAACTGTTACCAAATGAATGTAGGAGCCTAATTAAATACATAAATGCTTTAAAATGATGAATGTTATCAAATTACAATTCGATCATCACCTCCCTTTTCATGTAATTTGTCAATGTCTTGCTCAACAGGTACTTGTAATGCCAAAGAGATAATAATCGGGTGATTTAGAAATAGGAGACTATCAACGCCATGATATCCAATTACAAGATTCGAATTTATGCATTGAATCCCTAATAATATTTGAATTGGATGACTGTATAAAGAAGATGATTGGACACATTATACATCATTTCATACTCATGAAATATCAGGGGGCTACATAAATCCAAACAGAGTATTAAATTAGATGCTATAATCAATATTTAAGAACAAATAATGACACTAATTCAAACATATTTTATTTTTATCTCATAACTGGCTTTGAATAATTGTCTCATTTTGGTCTACAATCAGCACATCATATATATATATATATATATATATATATATAAAAATTTTTATTTCTAATGGCAAGGCAAAAGGTACAAATAGAAAGATGAATTAAATAACGAATACAAATGTACGTAGGATAACAGAGAAGGAAGACCGAAGTCATTGCCTTAAAAATTCTCTTGCTTCCGAATATCTTGAGGTCTCAGTGTGTCCATGAAGGGCACCACGTAGAAGGAGGTGGTGCATGCCCAATTTCTCTCCAGATTTACAAAGTGGACAAAAAGGCGTGGTGGAAAGGTCTATGCGATATAAGTGAACAATAAACTTATATATAAGATAACTTTTATGCAAATTTCTTTAAAATAAGGGGAAGCTTATAAAGTTCATGATGTCTTAAAAAACCATTGCATCAGTCAACGGGCATATGGAAACCTCTCGAGATAAAATCGACATTCTGCAACTAAGCTGTACTTCTAGCCCGAGCAAGAAAATTAAATAAAATTATCGATCAGTAACCGATTTCATTTTCAAAGTGAAAACTTGAATGTTTTAAACAATATTTCTAAGAATAAACGAAAATTATTCAGCAATTTTATCCCTGTAAAATATTTTTTATGCTACGACTTACATATAACTTCAGAGAAAATTAAGGAAACAAAATAAAAAATCGGTAAAACCTGAAAAACAATAGGATGATTATGATGGACTTTTCAACAGAAATAAAACACACGTATTGCGCAAACCAGAAACAGAAATTTACCGTCAAAAGACATTTTTTCTCAATGGAGAAACACATTGCATGTTTTAAACTCTATTCAAAACTTTAAAAAATTTTACCATTCATCATACAGTACAAGCATAAATTACTTTGGAGAAAAAATATAAATAGTCAATAATATCTAGTTAGGAAATTGCATTGCTCCAGCCAACTGATTAACTGGATTGTTCTTGAGACGCCGAGTTCTATAGTCAAATGGTCTACCGCTGAGCTAGGTTCAATTTGATCTATTTTATGTATTTAACAATATCAGGTGCTTTAAAAATCTTGTAAAGTTCAAAATTAAATCTCCTTCTCCAGTTACGGTTTTCATTTACACCAAGTATACTCCACAAAATCTTTCTCTTAAATAATGAGATACAATTTTCCTCCAATTTTTGTCATTGTCCAAGCTTCAGAAGAATATGTCAAGACCGGTCAGACAAGAGTTTTAACAAATTTGCTTTTCTACAAAGAAACCTAGATTTAATAAATCTTCGCAACCCATAGGCAGACTTATTATCTAGATAGAGTCGTTTTTCATTTCAAGAGACATTCTGCCATCAATAGTAATAATTGATAATAATTAAGTAAAACACCTTGATGCTTCAAATCTATCAGAATCTATTTTAAGATAGGGGACTGGCAGTCTGTTTCTTAAGAATAACATATATTTTATTTTCTCTATATTTAAAGCTAAACCCATTTGCCTAGCAGCCACCTCAAAGGAGCAAAAAACCCCTTTTAGGGCAAGAAGGAAACCAGCAATTACATCAACATCATCAGAATAAAAAAAATTGCTTCAGCAACACAAATTGTCCATTAACAATTATCTGTCTGTAAAAATTTGTAAGCGACACGACCAACAAATAACTTCAGAAGAAAAAATTAAAAAAAAATATATATATATAACTTAAAAAATTTTACAGCTATATAACACCTCTCATCAGTAAATTGTACTCAGAATAAAAAGCGTATCAAATAATGCTATTTATACAACAAAAAAAAGGTTCAGACAAAGAAATCCATATACAAAATAAAAGTGATAAAAAGTCTCAATCGCAAGAATGCTAAAATTTATTCCTCTTTCCAAGTGTGAACCCGGGCTTGAACCGGGGACCTCTCGATCTAAAGTCGAATGCTCTACCACTGAGCTATACCCCCTTGCTGTACAGATTAGGAATAAATAAAATAAAACGTTCCTTATTATTATTAGTTATAAAGGGAAACCATTCATTATATTTGATATATTTATTTTCCTCTAAACACAGAGTTGTACTCCGACTGTGAAGCGATTTATATAATAAAATTCATACGAAAAGAAAACTTCCTACAGGTTACAAGATACTCGTAATTTAAACCTGTATGCAGAGTTCCATTCTTTCATCCAAGGGGGCACCCGGGAATGAACCGGGGACCTCTCGATCTGCAGTCGAATGCTCTACCACTGAACTATAACCCTTGCTGTACAGATTAGGAATAAAAAAAATTTAAACGTTCCTTCTTATTATTAGTTACAAAGGGAAACCATTCATTATATTTGATATATTTATTTTCCTCTAAACACACAGTTGCACTCCGACTGTGAAGCGATTCATATAATAAAATTCATACGAAAAGAAAACTTCCTACAGGATACAAGAAACTTTTAATTTAAACCTGTATGGAGAGTTCCATTCTTTCATCCAAGTGGGCACCCGGGTTTGAACCGGGGACCTCTCGATCTGCAGTCGAATGCTCTAAGACTGAGTTATACCCCCTTGCTGTACAGACTAGCTATAAATATATTAAAACGTCCCTTCTTATTATTAGTTATAAAGGGAAACCATTCATTATATTTGATATATTTATTTTCCTCTAAACACACAGTTGCACTCCGACTGTGAAGCGAATTATATAATAAAATTCATAGGAAAAGAAAACTTCCTACAGGATATAAGAAACTCTTAATTTAGACCAGAATGGAGAGATCCATTCTTTCATCCAAGGGGGAACCCGGGTTTGAACCGGGGACCTCTCGATCTGCAGTCGAATGCTCTACCACAGAGCTATACCCCCTTGCTGTACAGATTAGCTATAAATAAATTGAAACGCCCCTTCTTATTATTAGTTATAAAGGGAAAAAGTTCATTATATTTGATATATTTATTTTCCTACAGTTGCACTCCGACTGTGAAGCGAATTTTATAATAAAATTCATAGGAAAAGAAAACTTCCTACAGGATATAAGAAACTCTTAATTTAAACCTGTATGGAGAGTTCCATTCTTTCATCCAAGGGGGCACCCAATTTTGAACCTTGGACCTCTTGATCTGCAGTCGAATGCTCTACCACTGAGCTCTACCCCCTTGCTGTACAGATTAGCTACAAATAAATTAAAACGTCCCTTCTTATTATTAGTTATAAAGGGAAACCATTCATTATATTTGATATATTTATTTTCCTCTAAACACACAGTTGCACTCCAACTGTGAAGCGAATTCTATAATAAAATTCATAGGAAAAGAAAACTTCCTACAAGATATAAGAAACTCTTAATTTAAACCTGTATGGAGAGTTCCATTCTTTCATCCAAGGGGGCACCCGGGTTTGAACCGGGGACCTCTCGATCTGCAGTCGAATGCTCTACCACTGAGCTATACCCCCTTGCTGTACAGATTAGCTATAAATAAATTAAAACGTCCCTTCTTATTATTAGTTATAAACGGAAACCATTCATTATATTTGATATATTTATTTTCCTCTAAACACACAGTTGCACTACGACTGTGAAGTGAATTGTATAATAAAATTCATAGGAAAAGAAAACTTCCTACAAGATATAAGAAACTCTTATTTTAAACCTGTAAGGAGAGTTTCATTCTTTCATAAAAGGGGGCACCCGGGTTTGAACCGGGGACCTCTCGATCTGCAGTCGAATGCTCTACCACTGAGCTATACAGATTAGCTATAAATAAATTAAAACATCCCTTCTTATTATTAGTTATAAAGGGAAAACAGTCATTATATTTGATATATTTATTTTCCTCTAAACACACAGTTGCACTCCGACTGTGAAGCGAATTGTATAATAAAATTCATAGGAAAAGAAAACTTCCTACAGGATATAAGAAACTCTTAATTTAAACCTGTATGGAGAGTTCCATTCTTTCATCCAAGGGGGCACCCGGGTTTGAACCGGGGACCTCTCGATCTGCAGTCGAATGCTCTACCACTGAGCTATACCCCCTTGCTGTACAGATTAGCTATAAATAAATTAAAACGTCCCTTCTTATTATTAGTTATAAAGGGAAACCATTCATTATATTTGATGTATTTATTTTCCACTAAACACACAGTTGCACTCCGACAGTGAAGCGAATTATATAATAAAATTCATAGGGAAAGAAAACTTCCTACAGGATATAAGAAACTCTTAATTTAAACCTGTATGAAGAGTTCTATTCTTTCATCCAAGGGGGCACCCTGGTTTGAACCGGGGAAATCTCGATCTGCAGTCGAATGCTCTACCACTGAGCTATACCCCCTTGCTGTACAGATTAGCTATAAATAAATTAAAACGTCCCTTCTTATTATTAGTTATAAAGGGAAACCATTCATTATATTTGATATATTTATTTTCCTCTAAACACACAGTTGCACTCCGACTGTGAAGCGAATTGTATAATAAAATTCATAGGAAAAGAAAACTTCCTACAGGATATAAGAAACTCTTAATATAAACCTGTATGAAGAATTCCATTCTTTCATCCAAGGCGGCACCCGGGTTTGAACCGGGGACCTCTCGATCTGCAGTCCAATGCTCTGCCACTGAGCTATGCCCGCTTGCTGTTCAGATTAGCTATAAATAAATTAAAACGTCCTTTCTTTTTATTAGTTATAAAGGGAAACCATTCATTATATTTGATATATTTATTTTCCTCTAAACACACAGTTGCACTCCGACTGTGAAGCGAATTGTATAATAAAATTCATAGGAAAAGAAAACTTCCTACAGGATATAAGAAACTCGTAATTTAAACCTGTATGGAAAGTTCCACT